AGTCATGCTCTATAAAGATGGCCTGCCGCGCTCTTTAAAGCACTATGTATCAAACGAGGTATTATTATTAGCATAGAAAAAGGCCATGATTTAATTTTGGGTGTGAAGATAATTTTTGAATAAAGTATAACCTATAGATTAACCGGATTGGAACGTTGGAAGCGTAATTGCATTGAAAAATAGATAATTTTAAAGGAAGATAATTTCAAAACTAGAAAAACATCTCTGTTGAAATGAAGGAAGGCATCTTAAAGAATGCTCCTAATTATTCTCCAATGCAGTAAGTGAACGTGCAGCTTTAACGTGTTCAAGCTTGCATAAAAAAAGGACGCGAGTTTTTGAATGTCGCGCCTCTAATGCGTCCCTATGTCAACCGAAAGCTTAACCTTGTAGTGCCAGTAATACTAAACAAGTTCTCTTAGTGGCAGCAACTCCACTAATTCATCGCTGAGCTTTTCTTTGCTTGAGACTAGTACCGCGCTACAAAACCCGCTTCCTCTTCAGGCAAAGCTTGCATTTGCGAGGCAAGCATTAATTACGACGTCATGAAAATGTAAAACCTATAGAATAGTCTTTATAGAGAGGATTGAAGAGATTTACAATAAATTTACGTTGATGTGATGTAATCTGATACGCATCGGGTTATATACTATTTAAATTTACTCAGAATAGCGAAAGTCATGAAGTCAAAAAGTTTATGCACAGTGGAAAAAGAAGGAAGAGAATTCTGTGCACAATTTTTTCTGCTGAAATGTATTGGACGGTGCTAGTGATAGAATCGCAAGTGCACTGGGACGATTATAGTGCGTAGTAAACAGGTTTTCACAACAATTCAAACTCCGTATTTGCAACATTTATATCACCCTGCAGAATGAATTCTACGATCAAAAATTCCTATGGAGACATTTGAAAAAACTTATGTAAACCAATTAACAACATCAGTCAACACTTTGAAAAATAGTCTTTTAGTGGTTACACCACTACGATAGGCGTGAAAGGGTCTGTTCCACCCCGAAATTTTTTTAGCAGGTAGTTCTTATTCGATCACCGAATTGCTGACGATTACACTGTGAGCCTGTATAAAAGTGCAACACTCGGAATTGACGCCGCTAGTTGTGGCAACATGGACGAGAAGGAAAAGCTCCTATACGCTGAGAATCTCAAACGATTCGTATTTTTTGGCATAGCTGTCTCTACTGTCGCCACATTCACTGCTATTGTTGCTGTACCTTTATTATGCCTATACCTACAGAATGTACACTCTGGAGTACAAGAAGAGATACTTTACTGTCGCACAAAATCAAGTGGATTGAGAGGGGAATACGTAAGGGTGAGGAGTTTACAAAATGAATTTCTCATTTTGTATATCTACTTCGCAAAATTATCAATTCATCTTATGCTAAATTTTATTTGAAAAAATAATATTTT